TCTAGATTTGGTCAAAAAGAAAAATAACGAATTAATCATCGTGATTTTCAATATTTTAAATTAGTACGTGAATAAAATATGTATTACCCTTCAAATCATATCAATTGTGGGTCCTAGAAATAACAATAAAAATGTTACAAAATAATAATTGCATTTTGATCTCTTGATTATTGTTATATTCTTAGATTTGGTCCTTCTGAAATATTTCACCTTTATTTGAGTAAAATAAGATGTTTTTATAAAGGAAGTGTGTGATAATTATAAAACTATATCACCTAAAATAATGGACTAGCAGTAAAAATTGAATGATTAAGCACTTAATTATTCATGTAGATTCACAACTTGAAGGATAAAAAATGCACGTGCACATATCAATTAATATGCTAATTAAAAAAAAATTCTTTACATCTTAAATTTTCATGTCCAATCAAATTAACAGAGCCAGATCAACAATTGAACACATACCGACATAGTATAACAATAATAACAATAACATTCAATTGTAATTTACAAGGTGGGATTTAATGAGCTGGTATATATGCAAAATCTTACTCTTATCTTGTGAAGATACAAAGACTGTTCTGATAGACTCTCACCTCAAGCAAAAACATATCAATAACATATTTAGTGTAATTTACAAGTGGGGCTTGAGGAGTTGGTGTGTATGCAACCTTACTCTTATCTTGTGAAGGCAGAGAGACTGTTCCGATAAATTCTCAACTCAAGCAAAAACGTATCAAATATGTAACACATATGATAATATGATAATTGAAGCAAATAAAACAAACATATAACACTAAAATCGAAATATAAGATAGTTGCACACTTACCAACATTGTAGCTTTGATAATAGTTTCCCTTGAATAACCATATTGGAAATCATCCTTATCTAACTCTGTTAACATTATATCAATCAAATCTTGATCATCATTAGACTCATTATTCTTCCTCTTATTAGTATGATCATCAAGCCAACGTTGAAGAATAACATCCATTTCATCAGCTATACGTTTCATCACCTTAATATTACCTTGCAAATCAAGCCATTGTAGCAATGGAAATGGAAATGCATCCTCTATACCAACTATAGCTATATAATACATCGTTTCGTTGAACGCTTTTCTAAAACGTTCCGCTTCTTCCTTCTCCTCCTCTTTATTATTCACCTGTGTAGAACAGACCGATTCACAATTTGAACTTTATGAATTTGAAAATCTACCATATAATCTATTAGGTTCGAAATTTATTGTTGATACGTTGTCCATTTTTTTCCCCCTTATAACTTACATATAGACTTTTTAGACTATGGTCTAATGAGTGTCGTATGAATTGACCTAATAAATGGACGGGTCATTTCAAATCGATTATGCGGATCATATTTTATGGGCTAAATTTTTCACCTCTAGCTAGGAGTAAGTGTGTATATATTCATTAATTTTAAAATTTGGATTCGTTTCTATGTACCTGACTATATCTCTTTCCACCAATCATCTTCACCGTTATATTTAACATCATATCATCAAACCAATGACCAATATCAACTTTAGTAGGTACATTTTTTGCTTCATTAGCAACAAATAGTGTGTACAACTCCTTGATACTACTCTCCACTTCTGAAATTCGAACATGCTTTAGCCTCTCCAGACTCTTACTCGATAGCAGATTATTAACCACCAATTTTCGAACCATACGCCAATAAGGTCCATAATTTGCAAATGTAAGATTTGCATGGTCATAGCCAAGATATTTACAAGAACAAGTAGCTACTCTATTAGCTAAGTTCTTGTCTTGTGTAGTAAAGCATTCTTTTATTGCTTCATAACTACTCACAACGGCTATTGGGAACATCCCTTGACGGACGGTGAAAACTGGCCCATACTTATCTGCTAACGCACCTAGGGTATGGGCCAGAGGAATTTCACCGTCCTTGTTGATCCTATTGCGACCGTCTAACGTGTTGCTTAGGATTTGAGGGAGGTGGCCTATAATTGGCCATGCTCCTGGAAGTTGTGGAGGGGCTGGACCAAATTTTTTGCTATTTTTCCAAGTTTTTGCTTTTCTTATGAGAAATAATAGGAAGAAAAAAACTAGAATTCCAATAATAGCTTCAACATGTGAAAGAATGTGAATTTCCATTGGACAAAAGGGGAAAAAGAAGAGATTGAGATAGAAGAGAATGTATTGGGTTTTTGAACTATATATTTCGGCTTGATATATAAGTAACCTAACTAAATTTCATTTGGACACACAAATTCAGACTTGTTTTAATTACGCATCTAATTATATTTTTAACAAACGCAAACTTTCGATATTAGAATTTGAAAAAAGTTCTAATGTGTTATTGGACACTCAAACTAAGGCTTGTTCTAATTACGCATCTAATTACGTTTCTATCAAATAGATACTTCCGATTCAGAATTTGAAAAAAAGTTTAAATATGTTATCAAGTGTTCATTATTTAAATAAGTCTATAACCGCGTAAATTCTCACTTCTTTTAATCATATGCATTTGTTTCAATAAATTGTAAAACCTTAAATCTATACAAATTAAGGTTGATAATAATATATTTAATGTAATTAACTTTAACTATCTCGTAAACGGTTGAGAATATATACGGTACTATGTGCTTGATGAATATTTTATAAGTAATAATGATTTGATCCAATTATTGGGTCTAAATTATTGAAAGTAAAAATATAATTCTGTAGTAATTCCACTAAGGTGAATTGGAGAACATCTTTATTCGATTATGATACGTAAAGATTGGCATGCATTACTGTTACGCAAAATTATTTCGTTGTTTATCTTATATTTTAATTTCAATTATTTTGTCAGTATTTACAAAATCTTCTTAAAGAAATCAAATGATTTCACCAATATCTATGTAGCCATATATATTAGAATACAAACAGAGATTGTATCGTTTAATTTATCATATTTTCAAATTATGGCTAAAAAACAAAAACACATACCATTATTAAAATATCTAGATATGGGTATCAAATGATATGCACGTAATACTAATAAAAACAAATCATGTACTTCTAGGTAAAATGAATAAAGTTAATAAATTTGAAGGTTAAAAAATTATTTGATGTTATATGGATTGGATTGAAACATGCAGACAAGTTCGTTTATTATTTTATAATTTATTTAAGCAATTAATATTTTTTTTTCAATAGTATATAACATATCAAATAAAAAATATATTACTAAGATTTTCCATGTTTCGATTTGTCCTATGCATTAATCAAACTTTTAACTAAGCTGAATTAGATGAATCAAAATTAATAAATAAATGAATTATTGATCTGCTTAAATTTGGGTGGTTCATATTATCGTGGGCTAAGATTTCTTTCCCTAACTGCAGTCTGCAGTAGACATAGTGTATCTAGAGGGGTTCCGTGGGTTCACGTGAATCTGTGACCCATTGTCTAGATTATATATAATAGTGTTTTTTTAAAAAAATATATAGAAGTGTAAACTCACGTTAAAAGTAACATACTACGATAATGATTGGGTGCACATCTTTAAGCAAAGATAGAAATTTAATTCTTATATCTATTTTATTTTTGTTAAAAATACCATCAAAGTAGTTATCTGTAACACTTTTGACATTTCAATTTATTTTTTTCGCTTTAATCTTTCAAAAATTTCAAGTGCGTAATATCGAAAATTCCTAAAAGAAAATTAGCACGATAATCTTTTTTATATATATAATTTAATCTAATGTGTATAGTAAAATTTAAAACTAGTAGTATATGTTGGACTTAAATTTTCTAAAATTCAAAACATTTCTTTGTTAAGAATGTAAAGATCAAATCAATCAAAATGCAATTTTTTCATAGCAGTACATCCATTTTTCTGAAATCTTGAATGGAAACAGTTATATACATTGTATACCTTTGGAATGTACAATTCACATTTTGTATATCTTAAGTGCAGCAGTTGAATCACATTTGTTTTGTTGTATACCATTGACATATACATTATTGACTTGTATTACCTTGAGGCCCACGAAAATGTGCATATTTATTGGATATTTGTTAAAAAAAATTCCAATATTGTGAGTGTTATCCCCTTCAAATGAGACTTCTTTTTTGATGTCAAAGACCAGAAGCTACGCGCAAATTCTCATTGGATTGGGGTTGTTCTTAACAGCGATGGCTATTTATTTAAGTCTAAGAAATTACATATGAACAAAAATACATAAGTAATGTTGGGTGTATAAGTTAGCATATTTTACACTGGAGAAATGTGATAGAAAATTGGGTGTAACTAGGCACAAAACAGTTAATGTCACTAGTGTGTTAGATCATCATAGATGGTATCAGAGCCATTTATGTGTAAGCTTGGTCGATGTGGGTAAGAAATCAATTGAGTTGAGATAAATTTTAATTAGGAAAAAATCTCGGACTGATTCTAGGTAATGACAAACTTCATCGAGCACGTTAAGTAATTGCGAAGTCAGAAATTTTATCAAGGGTGTTCAAGAATAATTGTGCGTGTACAAGTGATCTATTGTCAAAATAAAACAAAAAACATGTTCTACAAAGATGTTCAAACCCGAAACTACTTGATTCATATGGACAATCATTATCACTGCGTCAATGACGTAGCTTTGTCAAGAATGTCCAACTTTAAACATATATCCTTTAAAACAATTAATTTAACATATATATAAACAATGTAATTTTTTGATAAAAAGAGTATCTAGTTAGACACACCTTGAGGTAGCTATAGCTCCACCCCTGGGTGTATGCGACAAACTCATGACATTCTAGATTATGATAAGTAGTTTCACATCGAGAAAATCACAGGAGAAATGTTGAGTATATAAGTAAACAAGTGTTACATTTTAATATCGTATGAATCTAGATCCAAAAAGAATAATATCACTAGCAGGCTGAACCGATAAACTTACAAATTAAAAATAGTGCACCAATATTTTACTCTAGCATTAAAATATTTTGCAAGGACCACTATAAAATAGGGTATGAGTTAAGAATGGTTCACAAGTGCATTTTCAATTTTCTACATCATCTTTACTTTAAGAAAACTAAAAGAAATGGCATCTCTGATCTCTAGCTGGGCTTCACAAGTGAACACTGTGCCTGAAAGGTATGTGGTGCCTACTGAGAAAAGATTGAATGTAAATGTCCCAATTGGTAAAGACATTCCAGTTATTGATTTGTCACATCCTAATTCTGCCCTCATAGCTGAACAAATCATCAAAGCTTCTCAAGACTATGGAGTTTTTCAGGTAATATAATTATAGAGTTTTAAGTTTTATGTACTGATAGTGAAAAAAATATTTATACAATCAGGTCATTTAAAATGTAATTGCATGATACTTATTATATTTATGTTGGTGGAGGTAGTGACTTCCATGTAATTAGTCGAGAAGTGTATGCAAACTGATACAGACATCACGATGTAATTGCGAGTAGCTTTATTTAAACATTCATTGATAATTAACCTACGATAAGAAAATGTTGTTATAGAGAATGTAGTATGACATGAAAGATTGGGTCCACTGAAAAAAATTTGATTGTTATAGTGAAATATTGTTAAAGAGAGGTTTTTTTGACTGTACAAGCAAGTAACTTGTTATTACAGGTTAGGTTTAACTGATAATAGTGTGTACTAGTTACATGCACTGTCAACGTATATAAATTAAATCGATAATTATATTGTTGTTTATGATGTCATTATTAGGTGATTAACCATGGAGTGTCACAAGAGTTGATTGGTGATGTCCTTGAAGTTTGTGATGAATTTTTCAAGTTGCCAATTGAGGACTTGGAAAAGTATACTGAAGAAGAAGAGTTGAGTGAATTTGAGCCAAATCTTGACCAGAAACCAAAGCTTTATATTGAAAAGGAATATAAGCCTAAGAAGAATGGTAAGAATGATAAAGAAGTCATTTTTTGGAAAGACACTTTTGCTCATTGTACTCATCCTACCAAAGAAGATAGAATTAATTCTTGGCCTGAAAAGCCAGCAAAATATAGGTAAGTATTAAATATAATATCTTCTCTATTTCATTTCGTTTTGACCTGCACGTGAAAATTCTTTTTAATTTTGGGTGACGGTGTGATTCAATCTCAGGACGTCTGTCTGCTCTGCTATCATGTAATAATAATACCTGAGTCTAACTCAACCCCAAAAGCTAGCTCATGAAAGAGACCAAATTCTCATCGATAGTGAAACTTTTTAACAATATTAACTAGACATTAATAATTTTTTTAAAAGAATTTTTTATTTTATATATATTTAATATCTAATTCGCAATGAAATGTCTCACGATTATTACTATATTTTATTTACTAGGGAAGTGATTGGAAAATATAGTGAGGGAGTGAGGAAGGCAAATTTGAGAATTTTGGAGCTAATGTGTGAAGGATTGGGACTTGAAAAGGATTACTTTGCAAATGAGCTGAGCCATATTCAGTATATGGCTATAAACCTTTACCCAAAATGCCCCGACCCGACTGTAACAGCTGGAGCCGTGGAACATAATGACGGCGGAGTCATCAACTTGCTTTTACAAGAATTGGGCGGCTTACATGTGCGCCGTCAGAAAGATGGACAGTGGCTTGCTGTTGAGCCCATTCCTGGTGCATTGGTTTGCATCAATGGCATGATTTTGAAGGTATTTCCCAAGTTTTTGACGTGACACAAAAATTTTCGTATAATTTAAAATATATCATTATATATTTGCGTTATTATGAATAGAATATTTATTTTTATTAAATTTAAAAATATATCGCTTTTTTAAATCTGTATAAAAAGAAAAACGAGTCATATAATTAAAATTGATGCAGGTGAGTAAGACATAAGCATTTTTGTTGGAATGTAAAGCTGATTTAATATCCGATAATAGATATTAGTAGGGGAGTTAGAATTTTTATTAAGAAGGTTAAAAATATGAAATAGTTAAGGGGATTCAACATTTGTTATTTACGCATAAAATACTCCATCTGTCTTATTTTATGTAAGATAGTTGGACTCAAGACACGGAATTTAAAAAAGAAAAAAAGACTTTTAAAACTTATGGTCTAAAATGGATGATAAAAATTTGTATTGCTATAAATCATTTCATTCATTAGGGTAAAATAAATATTATAAAATTAAATTGATTCTTAATATAAAAATGTGTCATTTTTTTTGAATTAATTAAAAATAAAATAAATCATATAAATTGTGACAGAAAAATTAATTTAATATAATTTTTTATCGAAGGTAATTCAGATGAACCTCTGGACCCTTACTTGTAAGATCCTTTTGTCAATTGTTTTATTTTTTTTATAGGTCAATGTAAAATATGACTAAATTGTCAATTAATTTTTTAACTCAGGTGATTAGCAATGGGAAGTTAGAAAGTGGAATACATAGAGTGGCTACAAATTCAGTGAGAGATAGAATATCTCTTGGATGTTTAACTAGTCCTTCTTGTGATGGAAAATGCATAATTGAGCCTGCTAAACCACTTTTAAGTGAAACTAATCCACCTAAATACAAGTCATTTTCCTACACTGAGTATTTGAAGATTTTCTTCAGTGACACCTCTGAATTTGAAGCTGCACTCAATCCATACAAAATTTAATTAATTAATTTATCACTATGGGATAAATTGATGTGTTTCTTTATTTTGGAGGTACCAAAAATAATCATTGATGAATAAATTTTGTGTGTGTGTGTGTGTTTATTAATGTTATGTTTTGGATTTTCAATAATTTCATGCTACTATGTATTGTACTACTTCCTTTTGTAATAGTGATTTGAGTTTGTGATATAAATAAAACAATTTCAATAAATAAAGGTGTGTTTGAAGAATCGAAGTGTGTGATTATTTTATCTAAAAGGTTATTAGATTCTTTTTCATGGGCTAAACACGTGAACATACTTTTTTATTTGGATGACGGTAAAATTCAATATGATCTTAATACCTCTGTCGTACCATCTCATCTAAAAATTTAAGTTGTTAGAAAAAACATATTTTAATTATTTAATTATATTCTCAACAATATTATTATTTCCATGTTTATCAAGGCAACAACAACAATATCTAGTGTAATTCCATAAATAAAATCGAAGCGGGTTAAGATATATACACGACACCTTACTTCTATCTTTATAAAGATTTTTTTTCGATTGACTCTCGATAATTCTTCTTATTTAGTTAAATTTAAAATATGTAATATGATCAAGCTTACGCCAACAGAAATAACATATGGTGATCGGAAAACAAGATGAGACATTAGTTACAGTTGGTTTGTAAACAAATTAAAAGTCAACGGAATTGCGTTATATTGACGTGACTTGTAGCCATGTTCAATTAATTATAACAAAGCAATTAATTATACAATTATGTAATTATAATTTTATTACAATTAAAAGAAGGTCAACGACCAAGCATACAATGAACTTCTATAAAACCAAGAAAATTAAGTTTGAAAAGATGTATCTACTTCAATATATAAGCATAAAATGGATTCAATAAAGAGGTAATTTACGCAAAATTCTAATGCTTAATTCTATTGTTAATCGATCATTATACTAATTTATTTTTAATCAATTTTATTATTTTGATCGATTGTTATAATTTTTATCCATCTTATAATTATTTTTTTTGTACGCAGCAATGAGGATGTTTCAAATGTTGATGTGATTAGTGCAAAAGATCTGCTCTCTTCGGGTCACACTTATTTAGACGTGAGGTGAGTAATTAAAAAAAAATTGTAAAAAACAAAATCTAGTAAAAGTAAACTAATTTGTATTATTTTTGGAAATCTTGATAATTCAATTTCATTATTTTTGGGGTTTAATTTACAGGACAACTGAAGAGTATAATAGAGGACATATTGATAAAGCCATAAATATTCCATACATGTTTCTCAATGAACAAGGTTTTTTTTTTTTTTTAATTTTCATTATTTTTGTGTTTTTTTTTTCTTATACACTATTTTCTATTGTGAGCCAATTTTTTTTTTTTGTTTTTTTATTTTTGCTAGGAAGGGTGAAAAATCCAGATTTTCTTGAGCAAGTCTCTGCAGTGTGCCAAAAGGAGGATCATCTGATTGTGGTAAATTAACTCATAAACATTTTAACTTTCTTTTAATTTTACTAATTATATATATTTATAACGACAAAAGCTACTCCCTTCGTACGGTATTATTTGTCATGGTTTTTATTTTTAGAGTCAAACTATAAAAACTTTGACTAACATTTTAAGACGTATTTTTTCATCATATTAATATGTAAAAATTTGCAATTTATAGTACATTTCATATAGTTTTGCAATATCTATTTTTTTTATTCAAAATATCAAATTAATATGATCTAATTGAACCTTGAAAATTAGTCAAATTTGACTTTCGAAAAAAGTAACATGACAAACAATACCGAACGGAGGGAGTATTTATATCATAGTTAGTAGGTTATTTGTCATTTATCTTTAAGGCTTATTAAATAGAGTTACATGCCTATATATAATATTATCTTTTAAATAACTTAATTTTGAACGACTCTCAGAGTAAATATTAAATCCATGAATATATAACTTCAGAAATGAATTCTATAATAAATAGACGTAATAATTAAGTTAAACCTATAAAATTTAAATTTTGATTACGTCTTTTTAGTCGGTGAGTAAGATCTGTTTTGAAGGGATGTAACAGTGGAGGGAGAGGACTTCGAGCATGCGTCGATCTCCTTAATGCGGTTAGTGAGCCTTTCAATTTCCCATTTATATATTTATTTAAAAAAAATGACAGTTCAATGCATAAAATATATTATTTTAGTAGGATTTAGAAAAAAGTGGCATTTAAAAAATGTGATGTAGAAAGTCTATTCTAATGCAAATATTAGTGGCTGAAAGTTAACTTTATTTCAATTTGAATTTAGTCTACATGAATAAAAATTTATTTTTTCAAAAAAATACTAGTGTTTTACTATACACGGGGGAATCGGTTGAACTCAGTAACTTTTACTTAGTATATTTGAATTAAGAAGTTTATTAAATATGTACAAGTATTATGTTTAAACACCAATTATTAGAGTCCGGAGCCTAAAGGGTAAAAAATGTTAACAAAAATTCCAAAACGGTATATGAAATTTCTTTTTAACCAAAAGAGCAAAATCGCTCGCGAAGTAGCGATTTTGTCCACTGAAAAAAGCAAAATCGCTGCTATAGCAGCGATTTATTAAATTTGCTTTTTAAAAAAAAAAAATCATAACAAAATCGCTCCCTCGGGAGCAATTTTCAAAATAATTTTTTTTGTT